CACAGTAAAGTCACTAGCATATATTGATAATTCAACTTCCACTCTTAAATGTACCCATTATTATCTAGACAGGAAAGTGTGAATGTAAGCCAGGTTTTATGGGTAAGAAGTGTGAACATTCATGTCCTGAAGGAAGATGGGGAACTGGATGTAATGAATTGTGTCATTGTTCTGCTGAATTCACTTGTGATCCAAGTTCGGGTGCATGTCTTCAAGACTGTCCAGCAGGCTTAACAGGCCCCGAGTGTGAAACTCGTAAGTATAGTAAAAAATTATATATTTTTTGTAATAAAATACTTTCCAAGGCTACTACTGTAAAAAAAGTAAAGAACTGCAGTTGTAAGCAAAATCATCCCAACTAGATTGATAGTGGAAATAGCACCCATTGAACTTTAGATGGTAAAGTTTGTTTCAAGCCACAAAGCATAATTGTTTTTGCTGTAAACCTAGAAGTTAATTTCTCGAACTGGCAGGAGTCATCATAATAAGTAGTAAAGAAAAAACAATTATTAATACATATATATATATATATATATATATATAGTATTAAACAATAATCCCTCAAGTCTAAAGTATAATACTAATAATTATACTTGTTTTGAAACGTGTTTTGTCATGTTGAGAAACTATTAAAAAGTGACATTTCCAACATCTCTATTGTTAAGCCTAATGACAATTAGCAGTACTATGAATGAAATATTCCTTAAATAGAGAATTTTCTTTTGTTATTGACATTATCAAAACATTGTTTTAAAGAAGGTTTTAAGTTCCAGTTGCATTACTGACATATTGCTTTTATACTGTCCAGTGTCACTGATATGATTGAAACATTGGGCTTAGAAAGAGTTTTGCAATTATTGACATGATCAAAACATTACTATAAAAAGTTTTTAAAGTGCAAATACATAACCAAAACAATGCTTTGATAAAGAATTTGAAAATATTGTTAGATTTCTACATTAGTTTTCAAATGTCTTCTGTTAGTTACCTAAGTCATTAAAAACTTATTTATTCTAGATCTTGAAGAATATTGAAAATTTCTAAGGATTTTCCTTTGTCAGTGACATTTATTTGATCATGTCTGCCACATCTAATGTAAATCTTGAAAATTATGTTGAAACTATAATATGCAACGTGCATCACTGAGGAATTGCAATTGAATCTTGGTTATTCTGTTGAAACTATAATATACAGCATACATCACTGAGGAACTCCAACTGGATTCAGTTGGAGTTCCTCAGTGATGTATGCTGTATATTATAGTTTCAACAGAATACCCAAGATTCAGTAGGAGTAGTTCAGTGATGCATGCTGTATATTATAGTTTCAACATAATACCCAAGATCCAGTTGGAGTTCCTCAGTGATGTATGCTGTATATTATAGTTTCAACAGAATACCCAAGATCTTGGGTACTCTGTTGAAACTATAATGTACATCATGCATCATTGAACTACTCCAACTGAATCTTGGGTATTATGTTGAAACTATAATATACAGCATGCATCACTGAACTACTCCAACTGAATCTTGGGTATTATGTTGAAACTATAATATACAGCATACATCACTGAACTACTCCTACTGAATCTTAGGTATTCTGTTGAAACTATAATATACAGCATACATCACTGAACTACTCCAACTGAATCTTGGCTATTCTGTTGAAACTATAATATACAGCATACATCACTGAACTACTCCTACTGAATCTTGGGTATTATGTTGAAACTATAATGTACAACATGCATCACAGAATTACTCCAACTGAATCTTGGGTATTCTGTTGAAACTATAATGTACATCATGCATCATTGAACTACTCCAACTGAATCTTGGGTACTCTGTTGAAACTATAATATATAGCATACATCACTGAGGAACTCCAAATCAAAAACCTTTTTCTATTTTGTCATCAACACCTGCATTGTTTGGCAGCTCCTTCTTTGTAACTGACTATTAAGAATGCAAAATATAGCATGATTGATTGTGTAAAACTGTTAAGTGTTAACCATGGCATAAAATTACTGTCAAAATAATGTATAATTTTACATAAAAATTTTACATAATGCAAGACTGTCATACTTAGAATCACTAGAATGTGACTAAATAAATAAATGGTTGATATTTTAGTGACAATTATTTTTATTCAACCTTACAGCATGTCCCGAGGGGAAATACGGTCCCAACTGTATGAGGATGTGCTCTTGTGGAATGAGAGAGTGTGACCCTGTAACAGGGACGTGTCTCTGTGAACCAGGGAAGATGGGACCTGATTGTTTAACAGGCATGTATTATGTAATGAAGTTAATGTGTTAAAGTCTCGTAAACAGTGTTGTAAAAGTAAGAATGATCTATGTTACAAAGAACAATACATTTATTACTGTAGGTACATTGGTTATTTTATACTTTGCCAAATTATGTAAGTATACTTGTTGATTATCATGAAATTTGTTATGGGAAAGATTAATGGGATTTATATCTACAGAAAGAAAAATATTCTGTTTGATTGTACATATTGTAAATTTACTGTTGATTGTTTTATGTACTTTTTTAGGAATAAGTGTAGCAGATTATTTTATAAACTGAATTAGTCATAGTTTGTCTTAAGAATAAATTTGATATGGTTAGGTTATGAAATGGTTTGTGTCAGAATAGGTCAAAAATTGTTAATTGTTTTTATATAGTTATCTAAAATCACATGTGATATACGTCAAAGTATGTAAGCATATGTAATTGAGAAAGTTATATTTCAGTGTTCTGTAAACAAATTTACAATGATTTATGTTATGCAATACCGTGTTTCTCTGTGCTAAAATCTGTTTACAACTTCTGGTTGTTTTGCACAGTGTTATAAAACAAATATGATGCATGTAAAAATATGGAATTACAGTTTTTCCTTTGAACAAAATTTTTATGATTTAAGTGACGAAAAAATATGTATTTCTATGTTTAATATTGAAGTAACTGTTTTACAGACTGTCCTAAGAACAAGTATGGTCCAAGTTGCTTGAAAAAATGTTCTTGCAAGAATCAAGCTGAATGTGATTCACTTACCGGAAAATGCAATTGTCTTCCCGGTTTCTATGGGAAGTCATGTGAAAACAGTAAGTATTTATTAGATAATCTTGACAATAAAATACATTAATTATCTGCTTGATAAGCAGAATATATGTTAAAGGTATTTGCTTCAGCTAAGGTTTTATGTTAATAACATTTAACTATTCATTGTGACTGATACAAAACTATATATCAACAAATTAAGCTTGTCTTCTAACATCATCTTGTATATGAAACGTGCAAGAGAATTCAGCAAGAGCCATGTTAGCCCTAATAATTATTAGATGAGTAATTTTATCTGTTTACTCGAGTTTGTTGATGTTACAAACTTGTGAAGGTTAATACGAGATACAACTACTTGAAACAAGCTGTTTTCTTGTAAGTTAGAAAATTTGTCACAATGTGTAATGAGTTCCAGTCTTAAACTTG